TAAGACTCCACGCTTCCAATGCAGGGGGCACTGGTTTGATCCTTGGCTGGGGAACTAAGATCCCACGTGCCAAGTGGTGCGGCCAAAAATAAAAAATAGGAGAAATCTGTTTTAGAAAGATCGTTGTGGCAGCAGAGGGTAAGATGATTTGAATGGGGGTTACTGGGAGCAAGGGGGCCAGTCAGAGGCTGTGAGCATCTTCTACGGGAGAGATGATGCTTTTCCGAGCTGAGGCAGCACCCACACGGATGGACACAGGGCATGGACTTGAACACCACCTCCTGCAGAGGCCTTGGGAGTTGATGAAACATGGCCAAGGGTGGGAAGAAAGGAAAAATGGTCCAGATGACTCGGGAATGCAGCGATGCTGCTAAATAGAGAGGATGGAAGAAGAAACTGCTTATGGGGTGAAAGGAGTGGATTTGACTTTGGGTGTGTTGAATTTGGAGCAGAATTTGGGTGTGTTGAATTTGGAGCAGAGTTCTCAGCTGGAGAGTCCTAAAGGAAAAGCCGTAAATGCAGAGTGTGAGCTGGTAGGGAGTTGCTGTGGGTACAGAGAAATTTGAAAGGATGAGCAGTTGGGGGACCTGCCTTGCCTGGATTTTGATATGTGTTTGGTTTGGATATATATGTACCATTGATATGTACCATGGGTATGTATGTACCATTGATATGTACCATTCCTTCCCCACCCCCAGATTCTGATTGTGTCCTGCTAGGGCAGGGGGCCCCCAGGTAAGAATCCACCACCATGATGACTGGAGAGAACCATGACTTATTGCATTTGTGTTGGGGTAGAAACATGGTCCAAGCACAAGTCTGTCCTTAGAGCCCGAAACCATAGGAACAGATAACACACCCAGAGAGAGAGAGAGTGCAGCCAGAAGAGAAGATCTAAATAGAATCCCTGAGGCACACCACTCTTTAAAGGGCAGATGGAAGAAGAGGTACCTGCAAGTTAGGGGACATGCTGTGGGAGAGAGGGCTGTGAAAGGAGCCAAGGGAGGAGGCTTTCCGGGTCAAGGAAGAAGGTCAGCAGTGACCAGGGAGGCCTGGAGGACAAGCAGAGTGAAAGCTGGGACGAGGCTTTGGCAGTCAGGAGGTTATGGGTGAGAAGAGTCTTAGCAGAGTGACGGAGGTGGAGTCGGATCACGGGCTGAAGAGTGAATCCTGAGGGTCAGGAAGCAGAGCTAGTGAGTGCGGGCCATTCCTGAAGGAAGTCTGGCTGTGAACAGGAAAGAAGGCCTGAGGATTTATAGGATAGGGAACAGCCAGTGGAAAGCTAAGATCACAAGATTGTGGAAGTGTGAGGATGGAAGACATAGAGGCTCACTCTGGCTGCCTACCTTGGAATCAATTCTACTAAACCCAGGCCCCCCTTCCTCCATATCGCTCCCCCTCCCCACTTTTATCCCAGGCATGTAGATGGCACATGTTTTCTGCTGAGAAATCATTTATTCATGTTGTTATCCTTTCCTGGGGTGTGTTTCCATGTCTTCCTCATAAAACTCAACCTTACCTGTTTGGGGTCTCTTTATCCATCATGAAACCTTTGCTGAGATGGTAGAAAGAAAGGGTTTTGAATTTGGAGTCAGAAGATATGGGTTGAACTTTAGCTCTGCCATGAAGCATGTGACCTTGAGAAAGTACTTGATGTCTCTTTACCTTGGTTTTTCTTGTCAGTAATACCTGCTCTGACTTATACACAGGCTTGTTCACGATTCGAATGAGATCATGTTTGTGAAATGCCATTGAAATGACGGCACACAGAGCCACTGTGTTAGGTTACACTTTCCTAGCTTCTCTTCTTACTGATTTCATTCATTCAGTTGTGGGGTTTGCTGAATAAATTAACTCATTCAACTTTTTTGTTTGTTTGTTTTTCTCCAGTGCCTATTCTGCCAGGCACTGAGGATATAGTGATGAATAAGACAGTCCCTGCTCTTGTGGGGCTTACAGTGTAGAGTGGGAGACAGAAAAATAAATGTGTAGCATACAATTGCTGGCTGTTTCAGTGCTATAAAGAAAAATAAGGCAGGCCGAGGAGGAGAGCCCAGAAGTTACAGGGAAGTGTTCTGTTTTAGAGGGAGCAGTCGGGGCAGCTTCTCTGAGGACATGACATTCGAGCAGGGTAGAATGAGCAAGGGAACGAGCCCACACAACCATCGAGGGTGACAAGAGCCTTCGCCATGGGGGGAGGGGGCGGCGGGCGGCAGCAGGTAGCAGGTGCAAAGGCCCTGAGGTAGGAATGTGCTCAGTGTGTGCTAGAAACAACAAAAAGGCTAATGTCATGGGTTAAAGATGTTGCATTTTACACTAAGGGTGATGGGAAGATAGAGGTTGTGGCAGAAGAAACATTATCTTTTCCGTGGTGGCTTTGGCAGCTGGTGGGGTGTAGCTTGTGGAAGGCGGGAGCAGAAGCAGGAGACGGGAGTGCCAGGGGTGGAAGCAGTGGAGCAGAGGAGAAGCAGGTGGATTTTAGGTATGTTTCCAAGGATTTGCTAATGGACTCAATGCTGTGAAGGCACCCCAGAGTCAAAGTTGATTCCGGGGGTTTGGGCCTGAGCTGATGATTCTGTGGTTGTCTTGAACTGAAATTGGGAAGAGTAGGGGAGAGGAGAATGGGCTTTGTGGGGAAATTGTCTTTTTTCCTCTGTTCTTTGTGGAATTTAGCTCATAATGAGAAAAACTTCCAGTAAAACTGAAAGGATCTTAAAGATCTTCAAATTCAGTAATTTTCAAAGATATAAAGACATCTGCAGGATTATGAAGAATACCTGTCTCCTCCTCCAACACGAGTCTTCCCCACTCACCTGCCAGCCCCATCGTTATGAGGGTGGTGTGCTTCTCCAGAGTGGGGCTGGAGTGGAGGCTGGAGTGGTTTGCTTGTCTTGTGGCTGAGAAAACCAGGCTGAAGAGGTTATTGGAATTGCCCAGGGATGCAGGGCTGGCTGTTGTCTTATTTCGTTTGAGAGTTCCTTCACGTGTGGCTAGTTTCTCTTTTCCATTTGATTGTAAACTCCTTAAACTCTTAAGAATTATATCTTAAGATTTTTCATAGACTTTCTTTCTTACCCAGAACAGTACTAATAGCCATCCATCCTAAATATTAGGTTTTAGCACCTGATAATGAAAAGAAAATCAAGTCTCCTGCCCACAGTGGCACCTGCGATTTTACCTGCTCTTGTTAGTAAAGTCATATCCATCATTCATTGAATTTCCTGACAGATTTAAGGCATCAGCAAAGTACAGACACACAGGGAGAGGGCAAAGGGGAGGGGAAGAGGGAGATAGTGATAGTTCAGCCTCAAAAAGCTGAACCAAAAATTTGGAATCAGCTCAGAAAGAAGGCATTAGGGACGAATTACCACTTTGGGAAACTGCACTGTACTTTACTATTGCTTTTACATTGAATTATGTGAAAGTGAGATCAAAACAGTTTCTTCTAGCATTTAGGACTTCTGCAGGGCTGAATTTAGCCCTGGGAGATCTTTCCTGTATGTCTGGTGGTTGATGTGTGTTTGATATTAATATTAAATTGTGCCTGTGTGGTACTTTTATTCTCCAGTAGGTTTTAAAACTTTTTTTCTAGTACCTAATTTTATTTATTCGTTTTTGGTTATGCTGGGTCATCGTTGCTTCCAGAGCTTTCTCGAGTTGCAGAGAGTGGGGACTACTCTAGTTCCAGCGTGTGGGCTTCTTTTTCTTTTTTCTTTTAATTAATTAATTTTACTTTACAACATTGTATTGGTTTTGCCATACATTGATTTGGATCCTCCATGGGCGTACATGTATTCCCCATCCTGAAGCCCCCTCCCACCTCCCTCCCCATCCCGTCCTGGCAGAGGACATCAGACATGCTGGGCTTCTTCGCAGTGGCTTCTCCTGTTGTGGAGCACCGGCTCTGGGGCGCCCGGGCTTCAGTAGTTGGCAGCTGTAGGCTGTCTCAGAGCACAGGCTCAGTGGCTATGGGCTTAATTGCCCCCGCGGGTCTGTGGGATCTTCCGGGATCAGGAATCAAACCCATGTCTCCTGCATTAGCAGGCAGATTCTTTACCACTGAGCCACCAAGGAAGCCCCTCTAATAGGTATTTTAAAAGTATATTTTAACTACTGAAGGCTCTGATTCAAATTTTCTCTCTTTTGAGAGTACTAAGACAATTTTCTTAGATTTTTCCCCTGTAAGAATTTTTAAAATTATGCTCTATGTGTGGCAAGGGCTACAAGTGGAACATTCCATCATTAACTTTCGAGGCGTCTACTGACTACTCGGGTGCAGCATGCTAATTTGAAAGGAAGAGCGTGGTGATAAATGCACTTTCAAGTTTACTTTATTCACTTCTGACCAACCGTCCTGATTTTTGGCACTCGTGTTTGCAGTGATTCATACATAATATCCCAGGGGTCATGTGGGTTACGAGAGAGAGTTAAGATTAAGACAGATAATTCAGAATTTGTGTTATAAATGCTCGGTTATATTCATTGAATTCGTTTTGAAACCTACATGTGTTTCTCTCTGTTAAGTAGCAAGATTCCCTCTAATAAGGAATTCAGTGGTAATTTTTTGTGCTATAAGCCGTCGCAGCAACATTATATCTTCTTGAGAAATAATATTTATGCCTTTGGTGCCACCTAGCCCGTGAGACGAATTTTGTCTCAATAGAAAGGTCACTTCCATTTGGCCTTGCGTTTCTGAAATTTAAGACCCTCACTTATGATTATTGACTCAAATATATCATGGAGGATTAGTAAGAGTATTAAGTGTCGCCACAGTCTCCTTCACAAGCTGTAATTCTCCTGGGGACCAGGCTCGGGCCTTATTCATCCTCGTATCTCTTCCAGCCCTGAACACAGTTGCTGGCATAAACCAAGGATGCAATAAATTGCGGTCGAAATGAATTTTCAAAGCATGCGAGGCTGGCCCCCTCTGCCCCCGTGGGAGCGATTTGCGGCCGAGCTGGATTTTTTGAGCTATGTAACGCATTCAATCTTGTTCTTAGGTCCAGCCTGATGACTGGAGGGGCCAAGCGAGGAGCACCCAACCCTTGGCTCTTGGAGGAGCCGGAGGAGACCAGAGGCTTGGGTTTTGATGAAATCCGGCAACAGCAGCAGAAAATTATCCAAGGTACTAAATACCCCAAGGGTGTGGGCTCAGAAACCTGGTCGGGTTTTTTTTACCATAGCCTCGGATGTTCCCAATACCCATTGAAAATTGGAGGGAAAACAGTTGGTCTCTGAGAGCTCTTGGTGCTTTTGTGCCTCAGGGTACCTGGGGATTAGACAGATGCTGTCATCGGTCCAGGTAGCTGGTGGAAGTAGGGATTCTCTCCTGGGAGAGGGACATAGTGCAGCTCGGGGTCTGGTCATCCCAGGTGACTCGAGGCGTGGGCCTCTTTCTCCTCTCCATGATTAGGACTCATTCTCCAGTGAAAAGGCTCCGTTTTTTTTTTTTCCCCCATATAAGTCAGTTTGACTTTTACCTTCAGGTTCATCTTACCCAGCTGGCTTTTAAACCTGCTAATTTCTTCTGTTAATTTCAGAAGTAATGCATGATTGTTATACAATGTTCAAACAATATAGGGATATATAAAATGAAAAATATTTTCTGTATTGTTCCTCCAGTCTCAAACTGTAAACAGATTAACAGTGTATATTGCCTCAGGCTTTTTTCTGTACATGCATGCATACTGTATATTCAGTATAAGCACTTGTATGTTTTGCATAAGTGAGATCATAATACAGATATTTCTACAGCTTTTTTTTTTACTTAATATGTGTGATAGACATTTTTTGATGTCAGTGTTGCAGATGTTACTCCTGCTAATTCTCCTGTTTGAAACATAGCTTTATGTAGGTCTAGTTGACATCATAAATAGCACATATGTGAAGTGTATGATTCAATAAGCTTTGACATATGCATACACCTTTGAAACCATCTCTACAATCCAGATCATAAGCGTAATCATTACTCCTGATAGTTTTCTTCATTTCTGTTGGTAATTCTTACTGTTGTCCACCCCACACACCCAGATAGCTGCTGATCTGCTTTCTGTTGCTATAAAATCGCTTGTTTTCTCTAATTCTGTATAAATGGACTCATAAGATATGGGCTCTTTGCAAATTCAGGGGTGGGATGGTCTGGCTTCTTTATCTTGGGGTAATTATCTTAAGATTCATCCACATTGTTTCTTGGGTCAGTATTTTGTTCTCTTACATCACAGAGTAGTAATCCCTTGTATAAATTGACAGCAGTCTGCATATACATTTACCTGTTGATTTATGTTTTGCTCTGCATGTGTGGGGAAAAGGGCTATATGGGAACTCTTTGTACCCTCCTCTCAACTTTGCTGTGTACTTAAAACTTCTGTAAAAAACAAAAATCTCTTTAAAAAAAAACAAAGGGGTGAAACCTTTTTTATCCACAGATGGCATTGACCATTTGTATAGAAAATCCTACAGGTCTACTCAAGTATAGAGAATCCTACAGATTCTGCCGCAAAGCTATTAATTAGTGAGCTTAGCAAGGTTGCATGATCCAAGATCAGTATACAAAAATCATTTGTATTTTTATATACTAGCCACAACCAGGAGTAGGAATGTATAAATGCTGTGCATAAGAGAACAAAAAAACATGAACTACTTAGGGATAAATCTGGTGTTGAGTTTAACTCTCTGCCAGATCTGTCCATTTCTGAGAGGGGTGTAGAAATCTCCCAACTATAATAGTAGGTTCAGTCACTCAGTTGTGTCCAACTCTTTGTGACCCCATGGACTGCAGCATGCCAGGCCTCCCTGTCCATCACCAACTCCTGGAGCTTGCTCAGACTCATGTCCATTGAGTCAGTGATTCCATCCAGCCTTCTCATCCTCTGTCACCCCCGTCTCTTCCTGCCCTCAATCTTTCCCAGCATCAGGGTCTTTTCCAATGAGTCAGCTCTTTGCATCAGGTGGCCAAAGTATTGGAGCTTCAGCATCAGTCCTTCCAATGAATATTCAGAACTGATTTCCTGTAGGATTGACTGGTTTGATTTCCTTGCTGTCCAAGGGTCTCTCAAAAGTCTTCTCCAACACCACAGTTCAAAAGCATCAATTCTTCAGCACTCAGCTTTCTTTATGGCCCAAATCTCACATCCATACATAACTACTGGAAAAACCGCAGCTTTGACTAGATGGACCTTTGTTGGCAAAGTGATGTCTCTGCTTTTTAATATGCTGTCTAGGCTGGTCATAGCTTTTCTTCCAAGGAGCAAGCATCTTTTAATTTCATGGCTGCAGTCACTATCTGCAGTGATTTTGGAGCCCAAGAAAATAAAGTCTGTCACTGTTTCCATTGTTTCCCCATCTATTTGTCATGAAGTGATGGGACCAGATGCCGTGACCTTAGTTTTTTGAATGTTGAGTTTTCAGCCAGCTTTTTCACTGGCTTTGTCTGTTTCTCCTTGTATTTCTATCAGTTTTTTTGTTTTTTTTTGCTTCATGTAGTGTGATGCTCTGTTGTTAGGTATGTACACATTAAGGATTGCTATGTTGTCTTGGAGAATTGACCTCCTTATTATGTAATTCCCTTTTTTATCCTTAATAACTTTACTTGCTTTGAAGTCTGCTCTGTCTGAAATTAATGTAGCAACTCCTGTTTCTTTTGATGACTATTACTGTGGTTTATCTTTCTCCATTCATTTGCTTTTAATCCATATTTAAAGTGAGGTTTCTTTATATTTAAAGTGAGGTTCTTCAAGGCCACACGTAGTTGTTTTTGATCTACCCTGTCTTTGCCTCTTAACTGGTGTAGCTTTACATCTTTATTTCGATCTGGATGCCTTTTATTTTTCTTTCGTGCCTTATTACACTTGCTACAACCTCCAGTACAGTGTAGGAATGATGACATTCTTGCCTTGTTTCTAATCTTATGGAGGAAATAATTCATTTGAAAGCCAGATGTGAGTTTTTATTGGTTGGTTACTAGATATTTCTTTCTAAAAATATTCTTGAGATTTTTTTTTTCCCCCCTCCTGGGATGCAGTTATTCGGGTCTTGCTTTGTCAGGTGGACCAGAGCAGTGTTTATTTTAGAGCATGGGTCAGCAAACCATGGCCTATGGACCACATCTGGCCCACCACCTGGTTTTGTATGGTCTGCAAGCTAAAAATGGTTTTTCCATTTTTAAACGATTGAAAGGAGCCCCAAAAAGGATATTTCGTGACTTGTAAAAAACAAAACAAAACTGTGTAATACTCACAAGTGTAGTGTTCATAAATAAAGTTTTATGGGAGCACAACCATGCTCATTCATTTATGTATTACTGATGGATGCTTTCCTATGACAAAAACAGGATTGGGGCAGCTGCAACAGAGATCATACGAACCACAAAGCCTAAAATATTTGCTGTCTGGCCCTTTGTAGAAAACGTTTGCAGACTCCAGTCCGAGGTTATTTCCCTTATTTCTGTGCCAGAACAGTTTTGTGTACTCTCTGTGAGTTACGCAGTGACCTGGTGAGTGGGGATTAGGAATTTCGTCTTTTGATTGGTTATGTCTTATGTCCAGGTCCTGTGAACTCAGAGGGTTATTCCCTCTAAGGTTTTCAGGTGGTTCTTTCCCCGGCCTCAGTCAATTTCCTCACTCACATGTCCTGACCAACACTTGCCTGAAGTCTCAGTTTGGATCCCATGCAAATCTCCCATTTTCTCCTTGCACAACTCTCTGCTTTCTGGTACTGTGCCCTCACCTTGACCTGTTTTTCTTTTTTTGGAATCTCATCAATCTGGGAAGACTACTGGGAGCCACCTGAGATCCACCTTCCCCATGCCATGGCCTGGGACTCTTAAGCCAAAGATCTGGGACTGAGAGCTCATCTCATTTGTCTCCCAGATCTCAGGGATCACCGCCCCTCATTTCCTGACATCTGCATCTTGAAACTGTTGTTTTGTATATTTTGCCTGTGGTTTTGTGTATTGTTTTGTTTTCTCTTTGTTTGGGGCCAGAAGTCAGTCTGCTCCCTGTCAGCCCCTCTTGTCCAGAAGCAGAAGTCTAACTCTATTTTGGACTCCTTTTTCACAGTGAAATTATCTGTCACATGAAGTCCTAGTCCTCCTGAATCACTTTAATTCCATGGTATTTCACCCCTTATCATGTCTGAAGCAAAGTGAAGAAGCTGAGAACAGTGCAGCCTTGCACGTAGCCCATCTGTTCATTTGCAGTGATTTACTTTTCGGGATTCATGGTTCTTGAAAGGAATGTCTTGATAGCTAATACTCATGAAGTTTCTGGGCATTGTTGCTTTTTTTTTTTTTTTTTTTGCCAAGAAAAGCTGTTTTCAGTCAAGGGGAGTATCTCTGCCACTGACAAGGTGCCTCATTCAGAGATCGCTCTGAGCTGGGTGTGAGAGGATGCCGCATGTAAGTGTTTGTGTTGAGTCTCCCACACTGAGAGCATCCTCACTAAATGCCCACCCTTTGGAAGCCGGCTGGCCTTTGGGGTTTGTGGGGTGGGGTTGGGGAGTGAAGGAATGGAGGAGAGGAGCACTTATTACAGGTCAGAATGTTTTTCTGCTCTTCCTTTTGTGTTTTGAAATGCTCTATCCTTCCTTGCTTTCTGAGCAAGCTGTGTTTTCAAGGATGAGCGCAAAAACAATTCTCTTTACATGAAACCCTCATTATTCTTTTCTCTGCCTCAAGAACCTTGGTGATATGTGTGCTGAGATTGCCATGGCCATGCTTCCTGGCCAGGTCCTGCACTACAGAACCACGAAGGGTCATTTCTGACTTTGCCTGTGGCATCTGTTAGCCTTTCTGTACTTCTGTTGACCTTTAGAAAACACTTGGAAAATCATCCTAAAATAACAGGTTTCTGGTGGAGCTTAGACTCAAGGCAATGAATGCCTTCCTTTCCTGATCTGGAGGCTAAGCCTCCTTACTGCCAGTTAGATGGCCTCAGTTTCTATGCTTCCCATGCTGTAATTTGAAGCACAAATGGGCGTTCGCCAGAAGATGGGTGAGTTGATGACGGTAACCGGATCGTTCCTGGTGGTCCAGAGGTTAGGACTTGGTGCTTTCGCTGCCAGGGTCCAAGTTCCATCTCTGGCTGGGGAACTAAGACCCTGCAAGTTACATGGCACAGCACACCCCCC